ACAAGTGATATCCATATTCTGGTAGTAGGAGAACCAGGAATACAAGGACTATAAGAAGTTAATCGTAAATCTAATGCAAATAATGATGGAGTACATTTTAATTGCCTAACTGAAATATTAGGAAATGATGAACGAGATCAGAATGGCCTAGAATAAAAAAATATATGAATACTAAGGGGATTTCTTAGTTTAGCTTCTCTAATTGTATTAGGGTGCAGTTGATAAGACTGTATTTCTTTCATATTTATGTTGATGTGTACAATAATTTATTTATCCTCTAAGAAGGCTTGCCTTTTCTACACACATTTTTCCAAAAATTATGGATAAGGGTCTTTGTAGATTAGATAATTGTTTGGCATAGATCTCTATATATGAAGTAGTAGTCTCGAAAACCTACTTATAAAAGAAATATACAACTCTATTTTTCGTCGATATTACACACAGCACTATCACGGTTCGAGTTCCGCTATGGGTGTTGATAAGAGCTGGACGAGGTCGAAACCGCAATCTACCCTGGATAATGGAAATGTAATGTCATATTGTGGTAAAATTTAACTACTAATCCTAAATCATCTTAAACAAAATAGAGTGAATACATCTCATATACAACTCCATGTTTGTTTCGAACATAATCAGGACAACTAATGTATATTTAAAGTCTATTATTATCGAACTATACATTTTATATTTATTCAATAGTCGAAAATTGCTTACTTTTAGCTGAACTGTGTGGTCGGGAACCACGACCCGTGTTGAAGGGTGAACTGAAGCTGGTCAACTTCATCGGATCAGACATATGCACTTGCTGTAATGTCGAAGAATTCGGAAAGTAGTCGTAGACGAAGATCACGGCTGAAGAGCGAAGTTTTATAGAATATATATAACGTTAGAGGAAAAAAATGATTATGCTTTAAATAAAAATGTAATCGAGGATACTTTTTGAATTAAGGGAGGAGCTAAATATAAAAAAATGAATTAGACGCACAATTGTCATCAAAAACATCGGTTTGAAAACAGTCCCGAAGACCGACTACTGCTGGATGGTCAAGTTCAGAAAGTTGTTTGGCCAGAAAGTATGCCGCAGGGGAGAGACTAACTGAGGTCGTATTGCCTAAGGTAGGGTCCATCGAAGAGCTGTATGAAAAAATATAAAAGGCAAATAGATCTAATAAAATCATCACGGATTAAAAAACGATATTAACCAATAACTTTACATTCTCTCGTTATCTTATCTTTTTTGACGCTAATAAAGAGGCATTAATTAATTATTATTAGCATTGATGTCTCATTAATCAACAATTCCTTATGAGGTTCGCATGGTGATTAGAAATCATTGCACTATAGCTAATAAGGATAAAGAGAGGTAAAAACGCATCGTGCTGATTTCGGAATCGAAATCTGATTAAATAAAATGTGCCTCACGTTTATGCATCCAACATCTATCTTCATGCGTTAATTTAGCTATAAGATCGTGCTCAAGATACTCTCTTGATATGAATGCACCTCCAAGGTATAGAAGGAAGGACTACATACCCTTTAATTTTGAATTATTCCGATAGATGAACTGACGAAAGCCATATTTCTTCTTATTATTCATATAGAGTTGACCAATCATTCTCATTGCATATTTTTAAACAGGAGAGAAGAAATATTTGCCCCACCAAGACCGACAATCAGCCAAATTTTTTAAGATACTATCTTAAGACAATACCTAAGCCTTCTTGGATAAGAGATTATTATAAATAAGATGCAATGGTTATCTTCAGTAAGAAAATAAAATAGGACGGCTAGATGAAAAGACAATATCATTAAATCAATGTTATATAAAATGTAAAAAACTTCCAAATTAAACCCTAATTGCGAGATAAGTGGCAGCAAGAGCAGAAAGCAAGAAAGGTCGCAAACAAGAACCACTATCTATGAGGTTCATTTTGCCTTGCCTGCAAGCAGTAGTCTCAAGATTGTTAGCGCGTCTTGTTCCCCCTACTATATCAGAGTCGGCATTAGCTAGATGATCAATAGCTAAGGGAGTGGGCGATAGAACGATGCGACGCAATACAACAGCGCGGTTTAATCGAGGCGACCAGGCTTTGAGACATTGAGATTGCAGCCCAAATGTTGTGGAGGCGCGAAGTGGGTTTCCCACATTAATGCTCAACCCGAGATTAGTGGCAGTACTGGAATTAGGGCCAGCCACACCAGTGGCGGCAGCAGCAGCAGCGGCGGCAGCAGCAGCAGCGGCGGCAGCAGCACTACCCGCATGAGAACCAGAAGTGTGACTAGACAACTCAAGAGGTACGATGTCCGTGTAGGCACCGACGACAGGAGGCAACTCTGTATAGATTGCATGATATAGAGAAAAATAGCATGAATAGGCCAGTTTATATCATTTTTGGGGTTACAATTGAATGTAAAGCGAAACTTGCTTGATCTTGAATTCCATTAAAAAAGATTCAGGTTAGGAGGCTTAGAATAGTAATATCTTTAATAGGAAAAGTGCATATTTCAAATTTATTGCAACCCAACCCATAAGTTGATGTGGATTAAGTAGGTCAATGTTAGAAGTGAACCATCAAAGGATGACCTCCACTTAGGAAATATCCCCTCAATAATTGGCAGACAAAACACAAAATAATGCCGAACCTAT